TGGGGTTGCCCCAAACAACCCCCCTTCCTTCTATCTTAACCCTTCCGTTGTGCTACAACCCCTTAGGACAGCCCGAGACTGTTGGGCGACACCTCCTTGTTGTCCCATGGCTATCCACCCCAACTCCTCGCCTCCAAAGGGGCAGAAAGTACCGCCAAAGCTTCCCTATTTTCCTATATGTCGCTTCTGTCTCCTTTCTTTGTAGTTGCCGCTCAAAGAGGAAGCCTCACCTTCCTATTTGATCTCCTAGCTAGTATATAGTTGTTGTTTTGCTTGCTTTAGGTTAGTTTTTGATTAATTTCAGATATCAGATTTCTGTTAAGACAACCGTCGACATCTGTTCTCTGCTTCGAGGGCAGTATCTGAGGGATTGGGTGATACTCAGGCTGTATTTCTCTCCCGAGGTGGTGATTGTCATCCTCCTATTCCCTTCCGCCTGTGAAGCTCAGAGACGTATACGACATGACACAATACGAACACGACACAATTAAAAAAAGTAGTACACAACACATCATTGACACATTTTTTTATTTGATTAATTATTAATATAAAAAATATACTTCTCCATTCACAACACAAATTAAACAAGAATACAATTTAACTACATAAATTTGATTAACATTATAAAGCTTCATGTTTATGAAAATTAATTTTTAAAATTAGATATAATATGTTTCAAAAAGTAATCCAACTTATCTATCAAGATTTAAATAAATCCTAGTCATCCAACCTATAATCCAACTTATCTATCAAGATTTAAATAAATCCTATAATTTTTTTTTTTTTTATAGTGGTTTGGGTTAACTATGGTATCAACCATACAACATGCATGAAAATTATACATCATTCATGGCATAATTTAAATTCAAATCAACTTTACCTATTAGAGCTATAAAAATATAATATAAATCACTAAAATTTTCATAAAACTTTTTACTCGGAGACAACCACTACTTTGCAAACACATGGCAACAGACAATAGAAATTGAACCAATAAATTTCACACCATGCTTTAAAAATTCTCATTGAAGGCAGGACAAAGGAAAAGTAAAGGAAACTATTTCTAGACAAAGAAAAAAAATGCTAAAATTAACACATGAAGAGAAATCGATCTGTTCAACAATGCAACAATAGAAAATGTCCCATCTTGAAAAAATTACTCTAAAAGGTTCTATCTTGAAAAAATTACTCTAAAAGGTAAGAGACATTTTAAGGTAACAATTAACATGATATTTATAAGGAAAGAACGAGGCACTATCCAGCCTTCAGAAAATATGATTACAAATAGAGAATTACTAATGCTTGACTTGGACAAATAATGGACCACATTCGATGCTCGAATTTGATGAACGTTAGAGAGAGCTTCACATGACAAGAGATGGGGCCATTTTGACTATGACGTATAATTAAAACTATACGTATATTTATAATTTTCTCATTCCTGTGTCCTATTTTCTCAAAAGTGTTAGGCTCACTTCCAATGCAGTATTGAGGTCCGTCCCGGATATGTTCATGCCTGAAAAAAATTCATACATATATTTTGTAGTGTCGGACAAATGTCGGTGTCAGATACATAATTGACACGGGTACATCAAATTTCTAGAAGTGTCGGTGCTACATAGCCTTCAACATCCTCTCACGTTGCTCCTTACCTCCATACCTCGCTGCAGTCGCCCTTAAAATCCCTCAGTTTGTTGTTTTCTGAAATCATCCGCCGACCAACCACCCTTTCATCCCTTCCAACATTGGTGTTGCCCCAAACAAACCCCCTTCCTTCTATCTTAACCATTCCGATGTAAAAATATGAAGTAAATGACATAAATCACCTAAATTTTCATGAAACTTTTTTCTTAGAGACAACAACCACTTTGCAAACAAATGACAACAAACAACAGCACTTGAACAGATAAATTCACACCATGTTTTAAAAATTCTCATTCAAGGCAGAACAAAGGAAAGGTTTCAAACTATTTCTAGAAAGAGAAAAAAAAAAACTAAAATTAACACAGGAAGAGAAATTAATCAAGTCAAAAGTGCAATAATAAATACAATTTCATTAACCAAATCACAATTGCTTGGAGAAATGAAATGCTCTCCCTTCAAATAAACGTCTCTAGAAGGTAAAAGAAAATTAGAGGTAAACTAATTAACCTAAGAATTAACACAGGAAGAGAAATTAATCAAGTCAACAGTGCAATAAAAAATACATTTTCATTAACCAAATCACAACTTCTTGGAGAAATGAAATGCTCTCCCTTCAAATAAATTTCTCTAGAAGGTAAAAGAAAATTAGAGGTAAACTAATTAACCTAAGATTTTCCAGAAAAGAATGAGGCACTATAATGTTTTCCGATAATAAATATGCCTATAAAAAATCATAAGTACATCTTGTTTCCCAACCAAAGAAAAAAAAAAGAAAAGGAAAAAAAACAGTATATGCACAATACACCATGCGCAAGGTGAATGTCATTTGCAAATAAAATGCAACTTCTTACACATTTGCACCTCCCATCACTAATGACACAAACAATATGCCCTGTTGTGCCACATAAGCTTTTCTATTTTTGACAAATATCGCCAAGTCAGATTACCCTCAAATAAATCTCTCTAGCAACTTTCTTGAATGCACAGTGGCACAGGGAATGACAAGAATTAAAATGTGGATGAAATGAAAGGATAGCTAAACCAAGTTACGTATAAATTGCAATAATGAGATAAAAAAATATAGTAGAAATCATTTCAATAAACTATTTAATAAATTGTGATAAGTCACCTAAGATCACATTAGCACTTGGACAACTAATAGCATATTTACATTAGAAAATTATTAAAAATTAAGATATGATTTGGAAAATAAAATTCGAGAGATAATGGTATAACTCAAGTAAATATAACAATTAAAAGTATTTTTTTCATATTTGGACCCTTGCATACATCCATCCATCTTCAATGTCCCCTTGATTTTGAACACTAACTGAACATTTAAATCACAATTCTAACTTTTAGAGCAACATATTCTCAATTAAATATCAGTTTTATGATCTAAAGATCTTTATTGTGAAGCTCTAAACCAAATGAACTAACCGATATTTTTCTAAAATATTTTAGTCAAAGTTTGGATGTCACTTTGCCCAAGTGAATCATAAGTGCAGAGTGAAGGGAACAAAATATCATTATCCCTCATGTCCTTAACTCACATCACCATTTAAGTTTAGAATCCTATAATCCTATCAAAGTCAAAAAATATTTAACTTGTTAATTCATCAACGCTGAACAACAAACTTTTTAGGAACCTAGAGCTAGCAGTTCATAAAGAAAAAAAGTTTGAAACTGAACCATCCTTTTTGCAAAGCAACAAGAACTTTATTTATTAACTATCAGTTCATCCACTGCAATTGCTTTGCACATGGAAAATCAGTACAAACACGCTTATTACTCATAATCCATTGCTATCCTTATTTGTCAGCTTTAACTATGTAACATGTTACTTGCATCTACATAATTGACAGTGGCTGCAAACTTGAAGATCCCCAAGGCTAACATCTATATTTATCAGTTCCAAAACAAACCGTGATAGAAAAAACTTTGAATAGATCTCATCAACGAGCCTTTTAACCCAAGAAAGATATCCCTCTGTCAAGGCATTGATGGTCACAACAGTGGTTGAAAATCTACGAAATACATTGAACGGATTCAAAAAAAATTGAAATAAATGAAAAGAAATGTAAAAGATCTATGGATTGGTTAAGAACTATAGCCTTGTAATCAATACAAAAAAATTTTCAGTATCAATAGCAAA